ATCACTAAAGACACCGATCAGAGGCATCAGTGGACTGTTAATGTAGTTACGGGTGATCATGACATTGTTAACTTTAAGATTGATACAGCAGCTGAAGTAAACACGCTGTCAATGAAAACCTATGAGTCTCTAAGACACAAGCCAGTCATTAAACAGAGCACCACAGGTATTTTTGGGCTAGGTAAGCAGAGGGTGACACCACTTGGGGTAACAGTGTTAAAGTGTAAGCACAAGGGCAAAATACACCAGATACAGTGTGAAGTCATAGATGGTGAAATACCGAATCTGTTGTCACTGCAAGACAGTGTCAATATGAATCTAGTGAAGAGAGTACATGCAACAAAACAGGCTAAACAAGCTGTTGAGCTACCTGAATCGATCAAGAGTTGTCCACAGAGTGCTGTAGATGTCATTCATGAGTTTATTGATGTGTTTCAGGGTATAGGAAAAGTGCCGGGTGAGGTTGAGTTAAAGCTGAGTTCAGATGCAACCCCTGTTGCACAACCCCCTCGCCCTGTCCCCATAGCCCTGCGAGCAGCTGTTCAAGCGAAACTGCAGCAACTCGTTGACGATGAGATTATTGAGAGAGTCCCAGTAGGTACACCATCACCATGGTGTAGTGCTCTACATGTAGTCCCCAAGAAGGATGGGACAGTAAGACTAACGATTGACCCCAGAGACTTAAACCTAGCGCTACAGAGGGAGTTCCACCCAACCAATACAGTAGACGAAGTCGCACAGAGATGTGGTAAAGCCAGATACTTTACAGTGTTAGATGCGAATCAAGGATATTTCCAGCTACAGCTAGACGAACGCTCCAAGGACTACACAGTCTTCAACACACCCTTCGGTAGATTTCGGTACAGAAGATTGCCAATGGGAATCACATCCGCACCAGAATTGTTTCAAAGGATCTTCGGAGACATCTTCGAAGGTATAGAAGGCTTAGAGAAAATTGTGGATGATTTCCTAGTAAGCGGAGACACAATAGACGAACATAACAAGACACTTAGAGAGACACTAGAAAGAGCAAGAGAGAACAATGTGACATTTTCGCTGACGAAACTACAGCTATGTCGACATGAAGTGAAATACTCCGGACACAAGTTCACGGAAAATGGAACAAAGATCGATGAAGAGAAGATTACAGCGATAGTGGGAATGCCAAAACCCAAGTCAGTACCAGATATAGAGAGACTAATTGAGATGGTGACATACGTAGGAAAGTATCTAAAAAACTTGTCCTCAGCCACAGAGCCATTGAGAGACCTGATCAAGGAATCCAAGGACATAGACTTCGAATGGCATTTTGACAAGATCCATGAAGACGCGTTCAGTCAGATCAAGCTGTTAACCAGTGCACCAGTACTCCGATACTACAGCCGGGAAGAGCCAGTAACGATTTCAGGAGACGCCAGTCAATCCGGAATAGGATGTGTCCTGTTGCAAGATCAGCGACCAGTGGCATATGGGTCCAAGGCATTGACAACCGCTGAATACGCGTATGCACAGATTGAGAAGGAATTGTTGGCAATTGTGTTTGCATTCAAGAAATTCCACACATACGTGTACGGACGGACAGATGTCACTGTCGAGACAGACCATTTGCCCCTGATCAGAATCTTCCAGAAGCCATTACATCAAGTTCCACTCCGTTTACAGAAGATGAGGATGAGACTACAAGGATAAGATATTGGCCCAATATTGTTTTGCCAATATTGGTCCAATATCAGCTTGATGGGTGTGTATCTAGATACAACCTTGTGGCAATAATGATGCTAGGAAAATATACCCTGTGCCAATAATGATGTTCGGAAAATATACCCTGTGCAAATAATGATGTTCGGAAAATATACCCTGTGCCAATAATGATGTTCGGAAAATATACCCTGTCCAGCGGCACGTCCCCATGCAGTACCTTTAACAATGGGAGTGCCCCCCCCCGGATGCGCGCTAGCGCTTACACAGAGCAAGTATATGCAATGCCGAGTACAAGGCCGTATTCAACGGGTGGTCCATTAGGTCAGGAACCTCATTTTCTGACTGCATGATTTCCATTGTATGTGGCCATGAATAGTCTCAGTTTAAACAGAAAGCAATTATACATAGAAAATGTTCAGTCATTCGACAGCCATCAGATTACCACCAGCCTTCACAAAAAATCTGTGGGGACCCCCAAACCCTCTCAACTCTGCATTCACATGACCCAGTCCTTTCAGAATTCCTGCATCTGCCCCCTGTACAACCCACTACACACTCACTGCAGTGCACCACTTCTACTGCTGTGCCATGTTTGTAGTGAAATTACCTCATGAAAGACTGAATTTCATAGTAGATATTATTTTCACAAATATTTGAAAGTTGGTTTTCACAACAGTATTTCCTCATACAGGCACAAAAAAGGAATAAATACATATATATGTATACTTTCACTTCTACTATCAATTGAACTATAACCTCTTGCTTCACATGGAGAGCTCACAGCTGGCCCCTTATTATCCAAATGTGTAAATGCTGTCAACCTTCTTAAAATTACATCCCCTATTTGCATCGAAAAGGAGTTGCACTCACAGAATTATGTTATGGTGTGAAACATACATATTACATTCGGGTATTTGATGTACTACGATAATTTACTTAAAGATGAGCAGAATTTTTGTGAGTCTTTACATGAGTACATTCCTTGATTGTACTAACAAGGTCCTTGTTGTAATTATGCACACCAAGACTAGGCATACTACCATTCACAGCAACCGATTGCAAAACACTATTTCGGAAATAGTTATCGATTTCATCATTGAGAATGGACCCTAGGTTTTCTTCATTATCTGAACATAGCTTACACAATACACATATATGTGGAAATTCTAAATCAACACGTACGGGAGTAATTGAGCCGAGTAAATTCACATCACCGGTTTTGTCATATGTACTTGACCGTTGTACATACCGTCCCACATGTGGATTAAGATAACTCGTGCTGTCAAGCATAACAGCTCATAAAACCTTAAGATTGTTCAATTTTCCTCGCCTGTACATGTATGGCAGACACAGAAAATTGCACACAAAAACGGATACTATAGACTATTCTTTACCTTTACCTAGTAAGTGTCATGTATTGCGTCCACGAGATGGCGTGACTAGTCTAAAATAAACGAGTTGAGTGACCGCCAAAATGCCGTGCATGTTTTGTTTGTGAACCTACACAGAAACACTTGAATAGATACACAGAAACACTTGAACAGAGGCCAAGACATAACACAGAGGCCAAGACATAACAGTAAGTACAACTATTGGGATGAATGTTGCAGCATCTTGCATTTGCTGCTCTTTGGCAAGGCTGCGATGTCTGCAACGACTGTCGACACTGTGTACTGTCATTATTAGAGGTCGGGGCGCCTATATATTATAAACTTTACGCATTTTACAAGGTTTGATGTATTATTTATATGGGTTCAACAGTAATTTGTTCCAAACTACTTACATTAGTTGTGTGGGAAGGCACCTTAAATGCAATACTAATCATTCTACTCAGCACACCAGAAAAGAAGACCAAGGCTATGCTACATATGCATTCTCTTCATATGGTAGTATCATTCATACAATAAAGTTGGTTAAGTAATGACCGATTTTATAAATAGTGAAAATCTGATCATCTAAAACCAAACCTGATTTACAATATACAATTACTATCAAACGCCTAGATACCCCCATTAAAATTTTATAATGTACACCTAGGGCCCGTTTTTAGAAATAACATTAGTCTTGACATTAATCCTTTCTCATAGACCGTCGAGAGAAACACGGTAAAGTTAAGAGCTTCTCATACCTAGTGTGTAGCGGTCCACTCTACCAGAAAAGGTTATGGTTAGACTAATGCCAAGACTAATTTTGTCTCTGATAACAGGCCCCTATTAGCTACTTGGGCACTGGGTCCCATGAAAGTTCTATATCAGGGGAAGCGTAAGAGCTGCCACCTTGTGGTGGACTTTGCAAGGCTACAGGCTCAGATATATTAACTGATAACCTAAATTAATGTACACAGCTTTGACATTGAATTTGATGCACGTCGTGGCTGGGCAACCTATTGACACCCAATGGAACATGTGCATCATCTCTGAGCAATCTCACAACTCCTATTCTCCGTGCTTGCGACGCTACAATTCTTTGTATTTAGTTCCTGAACAGGCAAGTGGTGTAACCCACACTATCAATGCTGGCACATGCATGAATGTCTGATCAATCTGCCATCTATTGTGAAACATTGCTACCATAATGAGCTCCTACGTCATCTGTATAGCACCTTATTCGTTGGCTCATTTAAGCCCAGGAATATCGGACAGTGCAGCAGCAACGATATGCAATCCTCTGTAATGAGAAAATAATATCACGCTAAGTACTAACGAACTCATGAGTGCTTGTCTTAATTACTGAGGCCCACGCGTTTTTAAAACAATCACACACAGAAAACTGAAATCCTACATTTTACAACATTAAAATGCAACCTACATGCCTCTGATTTAATATGTACTCACAGAAAGCATCAACATAGACCTACCATCAACATGCTCTGCCACCTCCACCCACTGTTTCAGCCACGCTATCCGTTGTTCAGTGTGAAGACTCTTTGGATTTAACCCACGTATGAAACATGCCTGTACATAACAAAAAAGTGTAATTATAAGAGCCACTGTATGGGATGGGAAATCTGTAGGTGCGGCTATTCAGAATTCAGGGATGAGATTGGAGAATTTAATTTTCAGCTGAACTTGAAATTAGCAAACAGAGGAGGGATAGACGCGGGTTCATCCAGCCCTAGAGGCTGTCAAGGTAGACGAAACACATACTAATCAACTATCTACGTATAGTCATGAGCGTACTAAGCGGTGCATCTTAAGAAACTTGATAGAGAACTGCTCACACTTCTAGCGGGTACAAGCACCCCGTTGGCGTATGAGCCAGGGGACCCACCGCAAAAGGGTGTGCAAATACAACACGGGGTCGACTGAAATAGATGAGCATGGTACCCTTTCACACAGATCCTGAATACTAAGCTACAAATGGTAAGACGATCATTTCAACAGGTACGTGTGACCCAGAAGTAACATCGAAAAACACATAATACACGACGAGAAATTTTCCTCGCATGGTGATTAAAGGAGCACTCACCTGCAAAGCAGTTGCCACCCCCAAAAGGGGCCCAAATAACTCTTCAGACTGTCCTAGAAGTGAGACAGTGAGCAGACCAACATATGTCAGCCCGGTCATCGCTCGGCCATCACTGTGAGACGAGAACGGACCGTCCACCGAAAGCTGAGAGACGATCGATGGGCCAAATATTCAGGTTCCCACTTCCCGCAAAAGAGACAAACACAGGCTACGCTCAGAAATTCTTGCCTGGTTGTAACAAGGGGTGCAGACACCTCAAATATTGTACCCCTGGGCCACTGCCTTCGTAGCAACTCTAAATGCTAGAGCAAGAGTGTGATGTACAGAGTACACTCCTCTGAAACTCAAGGTTTAAGTGAGACAAAGCCATCCTCTGGGAACACAAACATTGCGCAATGACAGAAAGCACTCTACTCACATCAAACTGTCTAGGTTATTCAACAGTCCACCGCTATCCTCGAGATCACCAACGTCATCGCATATCTTGACATCATTATACGTACAAAATACCCCATATCACGCCAGCGTCAACCGCCCAAATCCCACCATGGAATCGGCCAAAAAATCACATGGGTCATCATCAACGAAACACTATGACACTGCCATTTTTCCACATGCATATCCCGCCGACAGACGGCCCGCAGCCGAGCCGGCCCCGGCAGACGCAGCCCAAAACAATAGACCCCTTGGCCCATCTAGGGCTAGTCCTAGATGTATAGGTACGACTTGTAATACTAGTTTACATTGACAAAGCACTTCTCATGGAACAAAATGGCAATGGACCAGAAATATTCCCAATGCATTGGCCCTCCCAGAACCGCCGCAAATCGTACATCTATGGCTACCTCAGGCCGCAGTTGAATCAGTCTCACAATCAACAACAACAATCGCAGGAACGCACGTGTTCCTCAGATAAGTTTTCAGATATTGTCAATCAGCTTTGTTTGAAAATCTCAAGCGATTTAACGTAAATTTAATTAGATGCAAAAAGAGCAAAGTGTGTTCCAAAATATAACAGACGCGCCTTGTGTGTAGAATGTAATGAATATAGCTAGAGACGGCCCATCATGCGATCGGCCATACCCCGATCATCAAAGCGGCGAGTCGCATCGCTAGGCCAGTATGGCCTGATATCACGGACTTGTACACGCCCGGGTGTACACCATGAGGCCTTGCACTATATACGCTAAAATCCATGATATCTAATGTGAAAATAGGATAAGCCCTTACGCGTTCATTGTATCTTATAGGTTATCTGTCTTATGTGTGCAAGACATGTTGCAGATGGTGCATAGAGTCTGGATCTTTTTGGCAGGAGGACTTGTCCTTGTAGGTAGGCTATATACATAAGTAAATTGTCGGTAAGTTGTGTGCAGCCGGCCCAATTAGTTGTACTCGCGAGAACTCAGAGAATCCCTGCAGCCTGAGAGGAAAACTAAGATATTTCAGATCGACCCACGTCCTGGGAAAAATGTTATCGCCAACAACAGACGCTCCGAGCGAAAAACGCAAAATTAAAAGAAATTAAAAAAAGTTAAAAATTAATAACTAAACTGACAAAATGTAGCGTACTCCAATACTTTACTATTTCGTCAATAGATGGAGCAATACGTGCGAGACTTGTTGTTGGTGTGCTCACAGTCACAGCCGTGAACTGACCAGTCAATCATCGTGAGGCAGCTGTGAGACCTCGATCGTAACGGAAGCGTACAGGCTGATCACGTATTGGTCTACGGCTGACTTAATTATATAGTACTGAAGCAAATGTACTGAGAAAGCTACTCCTGAACTCAGTACTGAAGCGATACACTCTACTCAACTTAGTTGCTCAATCTCACTAGCTCATTCATTAAGCGGCAAGCAACCGCAGGTTTCAGCAGCATTAAATATTGCAGTACAGTAACTAACATTAGCTTCGTGTTGCCCTGTTCGATCTGTTCCTGGGAGTCCTGTTCGCTCTCAGTGAAGGTAGGCAGAGGTTCAAAGGTAATAGAGATGGATGTCCAGGGTGGTGATTGGATAGATGGTGTTAGTTGATAGAAGGAACTGGACATGCTCTCTATCGCTTGAGCCGGCTAAAAGGTTCCACTGTAACATTTATACATGGCCTGCATTCCGCGTAATGCATGGCGAAAAGGCTGCAAGGCCTAAGGACAAACATTCAAGAGCGATTGTCTCGACCTCGTCTGGTCCCGTGGCTTCTCCCACGGCCAGCTGTATGTGGCTGCCTCTTGCACGCGGCAGCGCACTGCATCTCAGCATCCTCGCAGCGAAACCATCATCACCGCGCCAACCGTCGTCTACCCTGAGGCCCTGCACCACTAGATACCAAAACTGCGAACCGAAATGTATAAATATATATGTATAGCACTCTTTCATTTTCACTTACCCTGGCAACACTGGGTATTCAGCTAGTAGCATTAATAAAATACAATACTGTTATAAATTTGGAACACCGCTTCTTGAGCTCCTTGCCGTTCAAAATGCTCAGTATCCCAATTCAGCATACTATATGACAGGTATCCACACCTGCACTCGAACTTCTGAACTACCAGGCTATTTGTGTGTGGCTCCCCTACTACCTTTCTAGCGGAGGTCTACTACAAAGTTTCGGGTCGATGTATTTCAGGATGTAAAAGCATAGTCAGCAAATGGTTTTGAGACCAACTGGTTGCAAAAATGAAGATGAAAAATTCAGACATCTAGCCTTGAAATGGTGAGTCCCACTTTACACTTGTCAAGTCAAAACGCATGCAATGGCGAACAGCGTGACCCGTACTGTGGATGAGCTGCATGATACTTTACTTGTGATCAGTAGGAGTATCACATTTAATTATTATAGCAATTGATGGAATCAAGGTGGTTGGAACAATGGCTTGAACCTTTACGATTGTTTCAGGAAACTATGGGCTGGTAGCGAGTATCCAGACGCTTACAAAGATGCAGCCCAGTAGATCGTGCATGCATATAATGCAGAAACCAGTGTATGGAAACGGCGTGAAAGAGTTTCGACTATTGCGAAGCTTGGGCGAGTCTGTAAGAAAGCAGCAGAGTTAAGACTACAGTTTAAGACAAGATACATACATGAAGATTTGCATATAGAGATCAACTTAACAAACAGGCCATGGCACGTTGCTGTTTATCATTCACACACGCATGCCTATAAGAGCAATTTCACAGCTGGAAAACGACGCAACATATCTGAGGCAACCGATGAACCCCAGTGAAAGCCGGATACAAAGAGAAGGAGTTAATCTGTCATCAAGAACCGATGCAGCGGTTGCTTGGATCCTGTATCTCTGTGGGAAAGTGAGAATATACTGTAAAAACAGAAACAAGAGACACTTTCCAGATTCGTTACGATAAGAAGGTTCGATAAAAATTCATTGCGGGAGCCCCCTCACATGTAACCCAAGAGAGGATCAAAGGTTTAGTCGTATTGAATGCTAAGGTCGCGAAGAGGCACAGTAGTCACAAGTCCTGTTGTCGTAATTTTCAAGGAGATTGAGGAGCCACCCAAAGATGCAGGCAACCCCATGCTGACGACAGGGCAGTACTAATGGCAACCTTCGAAACTTTTTGCCACATTTATTACGACAGAAGTGATTGAAACAATGGTCAGGCAAATACTGGTTCAATGCATTTATTTAACATGTATAACAAAAGCAGAATTATATGGAAATGGTGGAACGGCAGGAGGACATCGCTGAGTTACAACCCCAAGGCATTGGTTGCGAAAATTCAGGACAGATTTGAAGAAAGAATATCTACAGCTCTTTGTGACGGCAGCCGTAAAGGGGAATTTCCTTGTCCACCGAGTTCGGCTTTATCTTGAGATGTTGCAAGAGCTACGCCCTGCAGAATGAAAAAGAGAACGCCGAACACGCATCTACGAAGGCTGCCCTTTAACTTAAGGAAAGAAATCCAGGAATGCCTAAATGGGAAACACCAACTCCTACCTCTGTTGAAACATTGAAAACTTGCTCACCAGACCTTCCTGATGACCTGCTGTTATTTTTTAGGACCCTTCTCTGTGGTCTACGCAAGCCAAATGCTAACAACGATAAGTCCCGCCCCTAGAGAGGAAAGTCATCGGGAGTATGACATCAGAACGTGTGCGGTGTGTCAATTGCATACCGGATAGGAGCAGTACGTCCATGGAAACAAATGGTACTAGTCTGGAATAGGAACGCTGACAGGATCAAAACTGATTCTGCATCTTAACCGCATGGGATACAGCCTAAGTTATGACGAGGTGAAAGCATTAGAAACAGAGTTTGCCTTCACAACTGAGGGAAACTGAAACGGGATGCACCAGATGGTATCAAGTTGACCCCAGATCTCGGAACAGGACTTGCTTGGGATAACTATGACGTAACATGGAAACACTAGATGGAAAAGATACCTTGCATGCACTGTTGGATTTGTTTACCAAAATACGACTGGCGAAAATGAAAAATGATCTTCAGGTACTTGCTACTCGCAG